ATAAAAATAAAATAAATAAATAAAAAATAAAAATTAATTTAAGTAACAAAAAAATAATCATGTTGGGAATACATTCAAATAACCTCTATTAGGGGAAGAAACTGAATTTAAATTGTGTTTTCATATCAGAATGGAGTAATAGTAGGGAATATTAAGTGACTAATATATTACAGATGTTTTCTTGACTTACTGTCTTCTGCAGCAGAAGGTGGGAAATTACCAATACTTTTCCCTACAGTGTGGGGCAGGCATAGAAAATGTGCCTTCAGAAAAGGAGCCAAGAGAAACAAGGAAAAAAATTCCCTCAAATGTATTAAATACAACCGAGGTCACAAAACATTCCTGGTACACAGCCTGTGCGTGCCTGTTTCCCTCCCCCTCCCCCTCCCCCTCCCCTTCCCTCTCCCCGTTTCCCTCTCTTTTTTTCAAACAGAGGTTAAGAGCAGAATATGTTTATCGGGGGGAAAGAAAGCTCCTAAGAGGACAGAATGGGACCAGAGCGGGTTGCCCCTCAGTCTGGGATTTCTGCTGCTTCTTTTCTTTTTTTCCCCCTGCTTCTTTGAATGATCTCTGCACCATTTTCATGGACTTGTGAACATTTGTTTTTCAACCTTCATAGAATTTTTACCTGTTTTAAGTTATTCTCATTTGATATAATTAAAAACTTTCCTTTCCTTTGTGGACCCTGGTGCAGGGATTTCTGATGAAGAAATCCATTTGGGCACATTTTGTTGTGCAGAAACAAGCTGAATACTTTGGAAAACACAAACACGAATATCGCATGCTTGTGCCAGGGTCTGGAGAGAAGCCCGGCCCGGGCAGCCTTTCTGGTTAAAACCCCAAAGATCAGCTGAAATCTGCCTTTCAACATTTTTTACATTGTTAGTTACCCTCAATGTAGGTTGGAGATGTGCCCCAGCATTACAGACATAGCCAAATTCTTCATTTTTTTCATTTATATCATTTGCAATGTTTACAAAGAAATACACGGATCTCCAAAGCACTTGTGGGCTACTGAGAATTCCGTGAAACAGCTAATTTAATTGAAATGCAGTGACTACTAAAGAAATTTTAAAGGAAAGAACCCTCTCAAATGAATATTTGGGAAGTGTGTAAAATGCATCCTATCACATAGTAACATTTCCCCCTATTTTTTCATAATAATAAAAATTTTAATATTAAAAATTAAAATTCATTTTTAAAACTTAATGTGGAGCTGGACATGGTGGTGCATGTTTGTAACCCAAGACTTTGGGAAGGTGAGACAGGAAGATTGTCGAGGGAGAGTTCGAGGGCAGTTTGAACTATATAATGAGACCCAGTCTCAAAAAACCAAACAATAATGGTGATAAATGATAACGCGGAATGAAATGTGTGGACACACAGTGGTGGGGATTACCATTTTTTTCCGCGGGATGGTTCTGAACACTTCTTTTGCTCGGATCTGTCTTAGCGGTGCCCCCTTCCAAGTCAAACCTTGTCCCGGCCTACACTTGTTCCTACACATTCCAGCTCCATGGCAGGATACAGCGGAGACCGCCTATTTCGTCCCTTCTTTCCACGGAAGAGCCGAGAACGCGGTCCCAGCCTCCCTGGCTCGGGGCAACGAGGACACCACACTTGGGATTTCTCCGCGGTTACCTCAGCCATGCTCTTCGCGACCTGAAAGCTGGAGCTTTTCAAGAGCCCCACCACCTTCACCCGCAGCGGCAGCTCGGGCGCTGACTGCGAGCTGCACGCAGCAGGATAGGGCAGGCGCTGCGGAGCACCGGCCATGGCGCCGCCGCCGAGCTTACCCTAGGCCAAACACGACGCGTCGCCACGGCAACCGTGCGGCCCCGCCCCCTGCGTCCACAGGGGCGGGGCTAGGGCGGGCGGCAAAGGCGGGGTTTCTTTGCGGGAAGCCTGTTGCTGGAGAACGCGGCTAGGGGCCAGCTAGGGTCGTGTGGGCGGCGGCGGCAGCCCGGAGCGTCCTTCATGGCCTAGGGTCAGAGGCCACTGGGGCGCCCTCTCTGGATCCCCAGGGGCCTCTCGCGCAGCCCTCGCCTACCCGCGGCGCCGGAACTTCGTAGCAGCTCTTCTTTCCGGGTTGGCGGTCCGTCTGAACCGGGTTGGCAAGCGGGCCGGGGGCGGGGTGACGCGGAGCAGCCCCAGGCCGGAGCCTCGTGGGCTTGGGCGGCGCGGAGCGCGACCGACCACCTGTGCGCGCCGTCGGCCACCTGTGCGCGCCGCCGCCGCGGCGTGGCTAGGGAGGGCCGTGATCCGGTCCCCGAGCGCCATGAAGCCCAACATCTCTCTGCGACTGAGAGTCTTCAACCTCAACTGCTGGTGAGTGCTCAACTCTCTCCCTCGCACCCGCACCCATACATCCTGAGGAAGGAGACTCGTCTTCCAACAGCCGGGCCACGACCCTATCCGTCCTGTGATCTTGGGGTGCGGGGCGAGAATAACCGCCCCAGCCCACCGCGGCCCCAGCTCTGATGGTGCCAGTAGTTAACGTCCCCTGATCCTGCCCTTCTTAGGGACCTTCCCTACCTGAGCAAGCACCGGGCTGACCGCATGAAGCGCTTGGGAGACTTTCTGAACTCGGAGAGCTTCGACCTGGCCCTCTTGGAGGAGGTGGGGTTGGTTGTGCGGCTCCTGGTGGAGATCCCAGGCTGGAAGGAGGGCAGCCGAACCCGAGGGAGCAGACTCCTCGGGAAAGGCCAGGTGGGCATCCTCACGCTTCCCTCAGGTGTGGAGTGAGAAGGACTTCCAAGACCTGAAGCAGAAGCTGGCTGTGCCCTACCCAGCTGCACACTACTTCAGGAGGTGAGAAGCCTGCAGGCTGAGCCGGTTCTCAGCCTTCAGGAAGCTCTTGGGCCCACCAGGCCTCCCTATTTTGCCTGCACCCTCTTTCCTCTCCCTCTGGGTGTGGGAGCAGGAGAGGCTGAACCGGAATGGTCCTATCTAGTCAGCACTTCTCAGCCTGTTAGCAAGAGGCCTCATCCCCTGCAAAGGTTCCCAGCAGCAGAAAGAGAAAAGTAGCTGATCTCAGCTGGGAGACAAGGGAGGAGCAGAAGGCTGGGGATCTCCCTCCTTGCAGGCCTGTTTAATTAAGCAGGCCTTGGCTTTCAGCGGAATCATTGGCAGTGGCCTCTGTGTCTTCTCCAAACACCCAATCCAGGAAATCAGCCAGCATGTGTACACCCTCAATGGCTACCCCTACATGGTAAGCCTCCCCTCTTCCACCCTTGTTAACTCAAGGTAGAAGCGTCAGCCCTCCTGTGGTTGAAGGGGCTGGGCAGGAATGTGGCAGTGCCTTGAGTTGCCTCCTCAGCCTCCTCCTACTGGCAGGTCCATCATGGTGACTGGTTCTGTGGGAAGGCTGTGGGGATGCTGGTGCTCCATCTCAGTGGACTGGTGCTGAATGTCTATGTGACCCATGTGAGTGAATCCAGCACTGCTGGGGAGCCGGTTCCTCTAGTCCTGCTGCATGAGGGTGAGGTGTGGGATCAGGATTTCCTGAGGTATCAGCAGGCATGGACTATCCATTCTGTATCAAACACATGCCAAGTGAATGATTTAGGCAAGCCTGAGACCTTAGTCCTGCCTGCAGTAACCTCATCTGTCCCACTCCAGCTGCATGCTGAATACAATCGACAGAAGGACATCTACCTAACACATCGCGTGGCCCAAGCTTGGGAACTGGCCCAGTTCATCCAGTGTGTGAGCCTGGGCTTGACAGGGGAAGTGGGATGGGCCCCGGGGCTGAGGGGTGGCCAGGGCTCCCCATAGAGGTGGTAAGGGAAGATGGCCTTGCTTACTAACCTGGCTTCCCCAGCCACACATCCAAGAAGGCAGACGTGATTCTGTTGTGTGGGGACCTCAACATGCACCCAGGAGACCTGGGCTGCTGCCTGCTGAAGGAGTACACAGGCCTGCATGATGCCTACCTTAGCACCCAAGACTTCAAGGTAAGAGCCTGCCTATATACTAGCTTTTCCCTACTTTCCTGCCCCCATATCCTAGTGCTGGTTGGCTGTTCCCCTAGGGCCCTGAAGGTGGCTGTACCATGATAAAGCACAACTGCTACGTCAGCCAGCAGGACCTGGGCCCATTTCCCTTTGGCATCCGGATCGACTATGTGCTGTACAAGGTCAGGCTCTTCCCCCAACACGCTTATACTTGCTGTCATTCATCACCAGCCTATTTGGATCCCTCCTTCAGCTGCTCCTTTGGGGACTGAAGACTGAGAATAGGATGCCTGGAGGGCAGCTCTGCCCCTCCATTGAAAGCTTCTATTATTTAACCTTTCCTAGGCCGTTCCTGGGTTCTACATCTCCTGTAAGACTCTCAGGACCACTACTGGCCATCACCCTAACCACGGAACCCCATTCTCTGATCACGAGGCCCTCATGGCAACTTTCTATGTGAGGCATGGCCCCCCTCAGAACCCTGGCCCCCCCCATGGTAAGTGCTCTTTTCTTTGGCCATTCTTCACCTCAGGGCAGCCCCTCCACTCTGACCTCTTCTCACCTTCTGCCCTGCCTCATCTAGGCCCAGCTGAGAAGCCATCGCTAAGAGTGCTGAAGGAGGCCTGCATGGAGCTGGGCCTGGGCATCTCTCGAGCTCGCTGGTGGACCGCCTTTGCTAGCTACATGATTGGCCTGGGGCTGATTCTTCTCATGTTACTGTGTGTCCTGGCAGCCAGGGAAGGAGCCAGTGAAGCAGCCATACTGTTCTGGAGCCCCAGTGTAGGATTGGTGCTAGGGGCAGGCGCAGTGTTCCTTTTCCACATCAAGGAAGCCAGAGGCTTACGTAGTGTCCAGGCCGAGCTCCAGCATGCACTGAGAAAGGCAAAGGAGTCCCATGACCTGGCCCCAGTGCCTCAGCTAGCCCCATTCCTGGGGCTGCCAGAGGGGGACAGAGTCGAGGAACAATAAAGCTTGACACTTCAGTAGTCTGCCATCTTCCGTGTAGAGCCAGTGATGGCAGCCAAGGTTTACTGTGGCTGTTCCATTGGTCACTTTAGGGCTCCCACTCCCACCTCCATGCAGCCTAAACCCTGTTTCTGGCAGAAGGATTTTTATTGTAAACAATGAGGCCTTTTTCCAGACAGCGCCTATGATTGGGGTGGCACTGTCCTGGCATGGGCCTGTCTTTTAAAAGAAGGCAAATAACACAGACTCTTCTAGCCCAGGGTCCCTGCTCCCGAGGCCAGCTCACTGAGCCTGCACTCCTCCCGGAAGCGGATGAGAGCATCTCTCTGGTTCACAACATCTACCAGCTTCCTCAGGATCTGGTCCTCGGCCTGCCGATCTGCAGCTGTCTTCAGGGTTTCTAAAGGGAGAAAGTGGCAAAGCTTAGAGAACAGGAAAGGTGGTCCGGGAGGCAGGAGAGGCTCAGCCTCATCCCAGCCTGGGTGACTGCATGTCTCCTAGCCTATAGTATGAGAAGGCTTGTCCACAACAGTGGTTTTCTAGCATTAGTTAGCAGCAGGCCCCTTGCTGAAGCCTGACTGCAGCTGACTGAACTGAAAGGAAAAAGGGCTATGGAGTTCATCCTGTGGCTTCCTCCCCTATTGCCTGGGGACACGGGCTAGAAGACTTGGTGGTCAGTATCCAAAGTCACAGATATTCCACTTACCTTCCCGGTTCAGGTAGCCCCTCAGCTCATGGTCCAGCTGCCACTGCTTCTCCTCTAGGTCCAGTTCCTGTACCCTGTGGAGGTCAGAGATGGAAAAAGCACAGTTGGAAAGGGTGCCCACATGGCTGGGGCCTGTCTGTGTTCCACTGTCACCATCCCTGTGCCTTACGTAATCATGAGCTCAGCCTCCTCAGCCACCAGGCTATTTTTCTTCTGGACCAGGTGTAGCAGCTGCTCTAACCAGAGTTTCTTTTGCTCTTCTGGGGAACCTGACAGGAAGGAAGGGGTGGCGGTCACAGGAGTACTGTGGGGAACAGGCTTGGGGAAGGGAAGGCATTGTGGGTGTGTCAGTGCTGTGTATCATGGCCATGGGCCCTGCTGTGGGCTGGAGCTTGGGTTGAGGGATTGCTGCAGGTTGAACAGTATCACAGGACAACAGGAGTGTCCTAGCTTGTCCCTTTCCTGTCTTTACTCACTGCTCTGGGTCCTCAAAGCCAGCTCCAGCTTCATGCCCTCAGCCTCGAGCTCCCTCAGAGCAGCCTCAATCTCATTGAGTCGCCGCTGAATGGCCTGAGGAATAAAGACGAGTCCCTGGAGTGTGGACCACTTGAGAACACAGCATCAGAGCCCTGAGCCAGGGCATAGACATCTGATCCCCTAAGAACATCTGACGACCCGAGAGCCTCACCTGGGCCTTGTGGAACCTCTTCATCTCCTCCTCCTTAGCATGGCGCAGCAGAGTCCGGCGCCATGTTGGGTATTTGCTCATGGTGCCAGCATTCTTGGCTAAAGTCAACAGGGCCTGTGGAAGGATTAGGCCAGTCAGGTAGGGCCTGTCGGCAGAGTGGGGGAAATGCTGTGTGGAGGGACAGAAAAGAACCTAGGCTGGGGGGTGGGATGAGTTCTGGTAGGCAGGGTGGAGGCTGGAAGGCATAAAAGTCAGTACTGGGTGAGAAGTTGCCCAGAGTACAGCGTGGGCTGAAGTTTCTTCCGTGGAGGGATGGGTAGTATCTGATGGATATGCTCTAGCTAGGGCAAAAGGTGGTCAGGTTCCTGCCATTTACCTGCTCCAGGTCTGAGTCCAAAGGCTCATCTTCGTCTTCATCTTCCTCTTCACTGGTAGGAGGACTCTCTTCCTTCTCCATGGCCTCAAGACCTGAGTGGGTGAGAGGGCGCCATGGCCTGGTGTTCCCATGATCTCCCTCCCTGCTCCCCAGTATTCCCAGAGCTCTCAATCCTTGCAACCCACAGCACATCTGTGGGAAGAGTGGTTACCAGGCAGACTCTGGACAGGCATGCCCCAGCCTGCAAAGCTGCTCTCCAGGGCATGGCGTGCCAAGGCTGAGCAGCTGCGAGGGGGCTTGGGTGGTGGCTCTGTTTCTGGGCTGGGGCTAATGTTGAGAGAAGATAGCTGCAGGTATTCCAGGCTGGAGAGATGGATCATCCGACGGGCAGGCTGGCTGGGACGTGGGATGGGACTGGCCTCTTCCTGCAGGGCTGTGGGAACTGAGGGGCCCGGTGGCATAATGTCCTCATGTGGGGTGGGGAGTTCCTGGAAAAGCCACCACATGGCCTGGTTGGGGACTTCCCAGTATGGGGCTGGAGGCTACACTTTTGGAGTCAGTATGGGCTCTGGCTTTCTTCACTTGCCACCTAGTGAACATTGTCCCAGGCAGTGATGTGAATGCTGGGTTACAGCAGTAAGTACAGCTAGACAAACACCCCAACCTACAGGCAGCTTACTAGTCCCAGCAAAGTGCGGCATTAGGGAGATTTCTTCTCTTCCCCCCCAACCCCTGTACCCCACGTGCACATGTGCACACAAACACTGTCATGGTCCTCACCATGCTAGTGGGGCCTCCATCCATGATATCTTCTTTGTGGTCAGTCCCAGGCAGGTGCTGGAGGCAGTAGAAATGCCCTGAGGAAGGTGGAAGGGGTGGGGGCATCTGTGACACTCAGCCACAGGATGAGGACTTACAGGCCCTTTTCTAGCAGCCCTAAGTCCTTAGGACCTCACATCTGGGGTCTGGAGGGCAAAGAAGACCCAAAGTTTAGGAAGAAAGTGCCAGTTTGTGCCCGTCTGCATCTCATTTCCAGCATCCCTCTGTCTGCCTTCAAGCTCCTTGTCCGCAGCAGAGCCACGCCCAGAGTGTGTCTAGCAGTTTCCCAGGCCTGCTCACCATCTGGGTGCTGCCCATAGCCGCCTGGCCACAGTGTGGCCTCACAGGCATGGCAGTGGAAGCAGCTCCGGTGGACAAAGTCACCATTTACACAGAAGCGCTCTAGGATGTAGAGGGGCTCCCCACAAAGGGCACACAGGTCCTTGGCATCAGTCCGCACAGGTTCCTAGGACACAGAGCCAAGGCCAATTGCAACTCTTCCTGAAACCTCCCTTCCCTCCTAGCTCTGCTATAAGAAGCAGCACTCTCACCTCCTGCTCTTGAGATGGGGGCTGCAGGGGTATACTGGGTTCTGGTGCAGGTGGCTCCTCAGTACTTGGAGTGTCAGCCTCCACCTAAGGAGGGAAGGGCCAGGCAGGCAGGGTCAGTGGGGAAAAGGAACAAAAGAAGGGGCTGGAGGAGAAGGGACTGGGGCTGGGGTGGGGATGGCTGGATCTGGGGTGGAGAGCAAGATGGGAACAGGACAGATGGACTGGACACTATCCTGCCTGTCTACACTTACCTCCAAGCGAGGCTTCTTGCCACCAGCATCCTCCCTGTTCTCCTGCAACAAGTCCTACACCTGTGAGCATGAGATTGTGCGCCCCAGCCTCCCCTCCCTGCGCTGACCCCTGCCCATCCTCCATCACTCCAGGGACCTCACAGGCCCCGCTCCCCAGCCCCAACCCTCCTTCGGAGACAGCACCTTGACTCGGGTGCGTTGTAGAGTCCTCTGAAGTTTACCAAGAAATAACACTGCACTGGAAGTCCCGGGAGAGGTTTGGCTGGCTGGTCCTGAAGCCCGGTCTGGATGATGGGGCAGAAGAGCCATTCTCTAGCCCAAGCAGGCCCTACAGCCACACCTTCCCCACTCTCCCAGCACCCAGTCCCACCCACCTGCCCTTTAGGTTACCTGGGCTGCTGGATGTGTTCTTGAAGGCACTGTGGAAGTGGCTGAGGTAGGCAATGAGGCCCAGGGGGTCGCTGCCAGCCACCACTGCCTGTGCAGACACCACAGGTGTGATGCCCAGCTCATGCTCAGCTACCCTCAATGCCCAGGTGGTCGCTTCCAGAGCCCCCATGCCCTGCAGCTCTGAGGGCTCCCTGTGGGGTGTGAGGGAGAGATGCGATGGGAGGCAAGAGGGGCAGGGAGTGAGGACCAGCAGGCAGGACTGGGACATGGTTTACTTGCTCCCTCCCAATGACAAACCCTTCTGGCCTTGGGAGCCCTGACTCTCTCCCAGTTCTCCCCTTGGAATGCATCTGATTCTGTCAAGACTTGGGGCAGGCAATCAGGCAAGGGTTCCCTCCCCAAGGAGGTGAGGACAGGTGGGTGGAAGGGGTGGGGCTAGGGGGGGCGCTAAGTGATCCACCATGAAGTAAAGGGGAAGGCAGGGGCACATGAGAGGTTCATTCTGTAGGGGACCCGGGTGCTGCTCCCTGACTCACAGCAGGTTGGGCCGCAGCTGGTGTACCAGGGCACACAGAGCTAGCCCACTGGCCCAGGAGGAAGACAAGTTTGTGACGTGGACTCCTGGATAGCCAGCTGTCTTTTCCTGGCACCAGCGCAGTAGCTCCTCTTGGGTGCCTGCTGACCCTGGGGAGGAAGGCTGTGCTGTGCCCAAGGACCCCTCTGTCCCACCCTTGGTGTGCAGCTTAGCTGTATGATGTGTGAGCTAGCACCAGGAACCCACCCACCTGCCCTGGGGCGTCGGCCTAGTGCTCACAGGCACCTCCATCTCCACTCTTTAAAAATCCCTTTTGGCATAAAATGGGAGAATGAATACAGTGGAAGAATTAAACCACTAACAGATACACAGAAGGGAAAGGCTGTGCCCTGAGAAGGCAACAGAGGCTTGGAGGCTCAAGCAGAGGCACTTTGGGGTTTGCAAGGCCGGAAGAGGTTGGCAGCACAGCTACTGCTAAGCACTGCTGCTGGTGGAGTGGTTGGTAATATATTGAAATATTTCCTAAGGTTGGCGCTGCTTGGTGTCACTGTCCTTCCATTCCCCCAGGGCCTCAGCTGCCCCACCAAATGCTGGTATGCCAGTGGGCTGGGTATCCTGAAGCTGTAGCACTCAGGTTGGTAAATAATTTTGGGTACTGGCTGGTAAATATCTTGGATATCCCCCAGGAGGAAGGCCAGC